AAACTAAAAAAAAAACAATGATATTTTAGATTGAAAGTTTTTTTTTTGTTTATTTTATTTAGTAATTATTATTTTATAAAAATTGAAAAATACCCCAAAATTAAAGTATATGGTAATCATATTTATATAGAAGTTTGTGGGGTGCCTAACACCTTCCCCACGCTTAACCGACCCTCCGCGGCAGGTCAATTTCTACGAAGACCTCAGTGATCTATCCCACCTCATTTGGATAGATGGTGACTCCATCCATTGTGACACGTCAACATCTGTCATCCGCTATTCGTTAACCGTTACCCGCTATCCACTACCACTATCCACTATCCACTATACACTACCCACCATCCGCTATCCGTTGAATTTTAACTGTGATACCAAATAGGCACTGAGTCAGGGTGCCGCATTTAGGCCCTGTTTGGTGCAGCTTCTTAAAGCTGCAGCTTTCAGGACACTATTCATCTTTCATCGCTTTAAATTTTCCTCATAAAAACTTACATTTTTAAATTTTTTTTTTTACCTTTAAAAAGCTACTAAAACAGTAAAAGATCAAAAGTTTTAAATTTAAGTTTATTAAAAACTTCTTTTTTACTCACTTTTTTCTATCTTCAAAAGTTACTTTTAAATTTTTTTCTTAAATAAAAATTTAAATTTATCACTTATAAATAATACAAAAAAAAGTTCAAACTCCAACAAATTATAGCAAACAAGCCCTTAGCTAGTGCGCTAAAGCTAATGTAGAACAAATATGGGCAACAGAACCAAGAGAGAAATGGATTGGGCAATGCAAAAAAAAATGTTGTCGCTCCTGAAGGATGAGACCCCTCCCCTGTGGCCACCTCCAGGAGGGTAATTATGTTGCCATCTCTCTTCTTTCCACCTGTCCTTTCTCCTTCCAGTTTATATCCCTATCTTTTTGTTCCCTAAAATCCCCAAAAAAAACCCCTAAATCATCCTTTCAATTTTGCAAGCTTTTTGTGATTCCTCTTTTAAAAACCTAAAAATATCATTTTTCTCTTTCCTTTTCAATCTCAAATCTTAAAACCTAGAATATCTAGCTAATTTTTGTTGTTTTCTCTCATTTATAGAATTTGCATCTATAATCGACATGGCAAATCGTGTTTTGATAATCGGACTGGAAACAAATGCCCATTTTGAGGAACGGAGGTCCTTTACTGCTGCTGGGAGGGTGATTGCCGAGAGTCTGGTCCATCGGAATAGAATTTATGGTGTGCTTGCAAAAGGTTGGTGTTGGAGTTAATCTCGATTTTAAAGCTAATTGTTTTGAATGAGTCCTAGTTAGTGGAGTTTATGTGTCCTACTATTGTGGTTGCTGATAACCACGTTTCCTTATCTTTAAGTTTCAGTTTGTAGAGGCTAGAAAATAGGAGTTTATGCTTTATTAGCCTATTATAAATAGGCAGTTGTTATTCAGTATTTCCAGCAATAGAAGTGCCTCTTTCTTCCTCTATTCTACTCTGTTTTTGGTTGTTTTGCTTTTATCTCTTCTGCTACTTCAATTGGTATCAGAGCATTACACAATGAATGGCTCAAATCAGATTTCAATTCCTATCTTGGATGGGAAGAATTACAATAGGTGGAATGTCCAAATGAGGGTGCTTTTTGATTACCACGAGTTGCTAGGTGTGGTGGAGACTGGAGTTGCTGAACTTGCAGAAAATGCAAATGATGCCCAAAAGCACACCCATCGTGAGAGCAAGAAAAAGGATAAGAAGGCATTATATTTCATCCATCAAGGGGTGAATGATGAAGTGTTTAAGAAGATTCAAAATGCAACTACGTCAAAGCAAGCATGGGATATCTTGATGATGGCGTACAAAGGTGCGGAGAAAGTTAAGAAGGTAAAACTCCAAACCTTAAGACGCCAATATGAGCTCCTACAAATGGAGTCTTTTGAAACTACTGCCACTTATGTTAGTTGAGTTCTTGCTTTGACAAATAAAATCAACATTTATGGAGAGGAGTACACAGAGCAGACTAAGGTGAAATCTTGCGGACACTCACACCAAAATTTGAGCACATTGTGGCAGCAATAGAAGAAGTCCATGATTTGTCCCAAATGACTGTTGAAGAGTTGTCAGGCTCATTAGAAGCACATGAGCAGAGAATGAATGAGAAACGGATAGAGAAGCCGATTGAGCAAGCCTTCCAAAGCCAAGTTTCCATCAAAGGTAATCAAGGTGGTGAAACAAGTCAAAAGCATGGTGGTTCTCGTGGTAAAGGACGAGGACGTGGTTTTTACTTCAACAAAGGTCGAGGTGATCATAACAACAATTATGGAGTAGGTGGTGATGACCAAGAAAAATCAAACTTTGGCCATCGACAGAATACAAGAGGTCGTGGTCGTGGTCGTGGTCGTGATCGAGGTCGAGGACGTGGTAGAGGAAGGTATGACAAATCTCATGTTGAGTGTTATTCTTGTCATAAACGTGGTCATTATTCAAGTGAGTGCAGATATAAGGAGAATGATCAAAAGGCTCATTATGTACAAGAGGAAGATGACAGTGAAGATCATGCTCTTTTGATGGTTACATCAACAAATGAGGCATCAAATTATCACACATGGTTTCTTGACACTGGATGTACTAATCATATGTGCAGTAAGAAGGAGTTCTTTGTTGATCTTGATGAGTCGTATCGATCCAAGGTCAAATTTGCAGATGAAAGCACTGTACCAGTGATGGGAAAAGGGAGAATCCTCATCAAGTTAAAGAATGGAGATCATAATTATATTTCAGACATGTTCTATGTGCCGGATATGAAAAGCAATCTGCTTAGCTTGGGTCAATTGCTGGAAAGGGGTTATAATATGCTCCTACGTGATAATCAACTCTCCATTTTTGATGTAAAAGGTATACTTATTCTTGAGGCTCCTCTATCAAAGAATCGTATATTTCAAGTTGACATTGCCAGTGAGGTTTACACTTGCCTTAGTGCTGTTTTAAAAGATGATTCTTGGTTATGGCATCTTCGTTTTGGTCATCTAAACTTTCGTAGTTTGAAGTTGCTTGCTCAAGAAAATATGGTGAAGGGCTTGCCTAGCATAAATCATCCAGAGCAATTGTGTGAGGCTTGTACTCTTAGAAAACACAGCAGGTTATCATTTGTGGCTGGAAAGAATTGGCGTGCAAGAAAGCCATTGGAACTTGTTCATTCTGATGTCTGTGGCCCAATGAGTGTTACATCAACTGGTAACAATAGGTATTTTCTTACCTTCATTGATGATTTTACTAGAAAAATTTGGGTCTATCTTTTGCAAAATAAGTTCGAAGTATTGAGTTGTTTTAAGAAGTTTAAGGCTCATGTTGAAAGACAAAGTGATCATTGTATCCAAATCTTACGAACTGATGGTGGGGGTGAATATACCTCCAATGAATTTCATGAGTATTGTGGAGAACAAGGTATACAACATCAAGTTACATGTCCCTACACTCCACAACACAATGGAGTTGCAGAGGGGAAGAACAGAACCATAATGGACATGGTGAGGAGCATCTTAAAGGCCAAGGGATTGCCAAATTCTTTTTGGGGTGAAGCTGTTTCCTGTTCTGTTTATTTGTTAAACAAGTCTCCAACAAGGAGTCTTCAAAATGTTACTCCCATAGAAGCATGGAGTGGTTTCAAGCCAAGTGTGAAGCATCTTAAGGTGTTTAGCTCTATTGCATTTGCTCATGTGCCGCCACAAACAAGGACAAAGCTAGATGATCGTGGAGAGAATACCATCTTTGTTGGCTATACTCGTGGAGGATTCAAGCTGTTCAATCCTGTGACTAATAAGGTGATTGTAAGTCGGGATCTGACTTTCGCAGAAGATGAAGCTTGGAGGTGGGATCTGGATACAAACAATGACACCTAAAGGCGATTTGTCACTATTCTTGAAGAAGATTCTCAAGTTACAGCAACCAATACTAATGAAGAAGCTGCTGCACCAAGTTATACTACACTAGAAAATCCCACGACACAGACTCTTCCTGAAGCTGGAAGACCGAGGAGACAAAGACAACCACCAGTTACTTTACAGGATTATGAGGTAACATCCGATGATGCTATTGATGATGATGGAAATCTAGTGCACTTTGCCATGTTTGCAGATTTAGAACCCGTATTTTTTGAAGAAGCCATTCAAGATCCTAAATGGGTGAATGCCACGCTTGAGGAGATGAAGGCAATTGAGAAGAACAACACATGGGAGCTTACTGACTTACCACAGGATCAAAAAGCAATTGATGTCAAATGGGTTTTCAAGACAAAGATGAAGTCCAATGGAGAGATTGAAAGACATAAAGCAAGATTAGTGGCAAGAGGATTTGAACAGCGTCCTGGCCATGATTATCAGGAGGTGTTCTCTCCAGTAGCTCGAATGGAGACCAATAGATTCATTATAGCTTAGGCCGCACAAAATCAATGGAAGATTAATCAAATGGATGTGAAGTCAGCATTCTTGAATGGTCCTCTTGAAGAAGAAGTCTTTGTCAGGCAACCACCAAGATTCGTAAAAGAAGGAAGTGAAGATAAAGTGTATAGATTGAAGAAAGCACTTTATGGTTTGAAGCAAGCACCACGAGCATGGAACAAGCGCATTGATTCATTCTTTGTCAAGGCTGGATTCAAGAAATGTCCTTCTAAACATGCTTTATATGTGAAGTTTAATGAATCTGGTGACATTTTGATACTTTGTCTTTATGTTGATGATATGATATTTACAAGCAACAGCACCAAAATGATTGAAGACTTCAAGAGGTCTATGATGCACGAATTCGAGATGACGGATCTTGGTTTAATGTCTTACTTTTTGGGTATAGAAGTGATGCAAAGAGAAGATGGGATCTTTATCTGTCAAAAGAGGTATGCTTCTGAACTGTTGAGGAGGTTTCATATGCATAATTGCAATCCAGCAAGAACTCCTGTGGAGGTTGGAACTAAGTTGTTCAAGAAGGGTGATGACGTACGTGTTAATCCCACTTTCTTCAAGCAACTTGTTGGGAGTTTGAGGTATCTCACATGCACACGACCTGACATCTCTTATGGTGTTGGATTGATTAGCAAGTTTATGGAGTCCCCTCGTCAATCTCATTTGCAAGTTGCCAAGAGAATTATGAGGTACCTAAAGGGCACTTTTGATCATGGTCTATTTTACTCTTCATCTAGCAATTGTACTCTTGTAGGTTATTCTAATAGTGATTGGAGTGGAAACTTAGATGATCGTAAAAGCACTACTGGTTATTGCTTTAATTTTGGTAATACAGCTTGTTCATGGTCGTCAAAAAAGCAGTCGATTGTTGCACTTTCAACTTGTGAAGCAGAGTATGTGGCAGCAACCTCAAGTGCATGTCAAGCAATATGGTTGCAAAGCTTGAAGAATCAAGTTCGTGTCCCAATTGAAGAACCTATGAAGATCTTTGTTGATAATATTTCAGCTATTAACTTGGCAAAGAACCCAGTCCATCACGGAAGGAGCAAGCATATCGACATAAGATTTCATTATTTGCGAGACTTAATTGACAAAAGGGTGATTGAGTTAAAGTACTGCAAGTCCGAAAATCAAGTTGCTGATATCCTCACTAAACCTTTGAAGTATGAAGCTTTTGTCAAGTTGAAGAGTATGATGGGAATATCTGCTCTACTGAATCAGGATTAAGGTGGGGATGTTGGAGTTAATCCCGATTTTAAAGCTAATTGTTTTGAGTGAGTCCTAGTTAGTGGAGTTTATGTGTCCTACTATTGTGGTTGCTGATAACCACGTTTCCTTATCTTTAAGTTTCAGTTTGTAGTGGCTAGAAAATAGGAGTTTATGCTTTATTAGCCTATTATAAATTGGCAGTTGTTATTCAGTTTAAGGTGTAATCATCTTTATCTATTTCCAGCAATAGAAGTGCCTCTTTCTTCCTCCGCTTTGCTCTGTTTTTGGTTGTTTTTCTTTTATCTCTTCTGCTACTTCAGTTGGGCGGATCGTAAGGATTTCCAGGTAAATGAAGTTGAAGAAAACCTTTATGCTATCTTTTTTCATTCTGAATCCGACCTCATGTGTGTTCTGGAAAATGCTCCATGGTCTGTTGGAGGGTTTTTGTTCAATGTTAAACAATGGGATCTGGGTATATCTTTGGCGGAAATGGACTTCTCACTAGCCTCCTATTAGATACAGGTTCACGCTCTGAATGTTGATGAATTGACCTACAACAATGCTGTTACTATAGGCAGTAGTCCCAGGATTTTAATCAAAGCTGAGAACCCTATAGTTAACAATGTTTTATTTAGGGGATTCTGAAGATGTAGAGTTCAAATTGAAGTTCTTAAGCCCTTTTTTTGTTGGATTTTGGTCCCATTCTCAGAATCATGAGGATAAGTGAAAGTGGGTTGAACTAAAGTATGAGAAGCTCTCAAACTTCTGCTATAACTGTGGTAGGTTGGGTCACTTAGATTCTGTGTCTGGAGAAGAGATGGTCATGTCTTTGAAGGATCCAAACCAACCTATGTATAGTAAAAGGCTGAGAACTACATAGGTGAGAGAGACTAACAGGACCCCAAGTAGAGTTAACAATATTTACAAAAGCACTTCAAGTAATCTAAGCCTATCATGCGCCCTCATAGTGAGAGATAAAAGGAAGAGACCTTGGAATGAGAAGCCTTTTAATACCCCTGACACTTTTGTGCAAGCATTCCCTACGACCACCCTACACATGCTAACTGATATTATCGTCATCCAGAAAGAATCCTAAGCTCAAACTTGTTTTCTCTACCGTTTCTCCACCTAAGGACAATGAACATTTAAATATTGAATATGTTGGTAGTAGCAGTAGTGGTTTGGTGGCTGGTAATTCAATGAGTAAGAACCCTCGTAATGCTGTTAATCTGGATATCATTGTGTTAATGAGTATCTGTTTGGTAATTCAAAAAGGGGGAGGTAGTAGCCCAAGAAGTGTTTGAACGAACCCTAGTCCCAGCTAATGATTGTACTGTGTTTAAGGACAATGATCAGCAAGTTTACTTTGTGGAAATACCTGGTGATGAATCTGCACTAGCTGCAAAAGGATTGGAACATGTTATCCCCAGAAGGCTGCCTAGCAAAATCCCCTTGGACAAGGTGTTTAATGGCTTAAGACTCAAGAGAGGTAGCTCAAATAGCCCCACTAGTCCCACTGCAAAGAAGTTGAAGCCTAGTCCACTTTTAAGATTGAATCCTCTGCTACCCTTGCCTAGCCCTGGGAACGTAAAGTTTCCATAATCTGGTGAGAAAAAGAAAACACTAAAGAAGGGGAGACCTACTAGAAGAAAGCAAAAGGTGAGTCCTGGTTTCCAAATTGAGGAATCTCAGTTGTTCTATGTGCCCATTGCATCAAGTGGCACCTTTGTTTTAGAGAACAAAATCTGAGGTCTGAAGGGGTTGGTGGCCCCCCTAAGGCCACGGGGGTTCCATGATTCTATTCAGCTATTATGCTTTTGGGAGGGGGCTGCCCTTGGTCATGAAATCTTTAAGCCTAAAGTATCCTAGATTATTTCTTCAGTTATGCTTTTGCTTTAATTTCCTTCTTTTGTTAAAAAGTTTGTTTGCAAAAGAGATATCTGCTAGCATGAGTTTGGGTCTGGTTTGGGTAGGTAGAATGATAGTATGGCTTGCTTTGTATCTTTGGAGGGGGGATTCGGTGGAAGGAGTTGTTTGTTTAGTAGGTTCTTCTATCACTAATTCAAAGGAGCAATGTTGAATGTCTAAGCACTGCCGGAGGATCTTCAGCCTCACTCTGCCTTCCTTTCATCCCAAGCTCATGATACTTGCCTTCGTCTACGTCACCAAGACTTTGAAGACCTGCTTCTCAAGTCCACTCTACATTAAACCACGAGAGGATGTGCGACCTGTTGTTAACAGAAGTAATTCCTTCCTTGCTTTCCTCTTCATCTGCAAGCTTAGCAGCTCTCCTTTGTCGTTTTATTTCAAGTGGTATGTTTCTGTGTTACTGTTTTTGCTCATGTTTTGTGTTTTGATGGTCTGTAAGTTACCTTATATTTCTGGTTAATATAATAGTTAGGATTTAATGGCCAAAAAAAAAAAAAAAACTGAGAGAAATGGAGAATCAAGGATGAGAAAGGAAAAACAAGCAATTAGGTGTTTAATTTGAAGCAATAATATCCATGCATTAAAATCGGCTTAACTCTAATATAAAATAAGACATAGATTCTAAAACCAATTAGGACTCCTATTAGTCCTCAAAAGATCATATCAAATCTTAAACTAATAAGAAACTAATCAAATCAAACATAATAATCTTAAATAATATAATTTCCCCTAAAATCTAGTTATATCATATACTACATAGGTCTTTTTGGGTACAACAATATCACGGAATGAATTCTAAACACATGATTAAAAATATAAATAACTCTACAATCAGATCTTGTGGTTATGGTATTAAATATAACATAATTAATTACAAACTCAAAATTATAAAATAGAATCCTACAATTAGATCACATGATTGAGGTAACAGTTAATTTTTTGTCAAACTATACAAACCAATTAAAATTGATAAACTTCAATAGAATGCTAAGAATAACTAAGTCTTAATATCTAAGTTTTCTTTTACATTAGCAATGAATTAAGAAATACATATACCTTAAAAAATAAAAAGAATACATATTCTCATTCATCCCTTAGTTTAGTAAAAATTTACCAATATTAAGACTTAATTATTCATAACTATCTAAGAAAATTTTTCAGATTTATCTTAATTATTACTACTAACCAAACATAACATATGCGGGGGGGTGGTAATACTTATTCTTAATGGGGTTGGTAATACGTATTCCTTAATCACCCAGTAACTTAGTAGAAAATGATTACTTGTAGGATATTCCTAACCTCTTAAATAAGTTTTAAAATTTTGACTCCTACTTTATAATTTGATCAAAATGTTATAGATATGTTTACATGTGGAATAGATCATCTGACCTCTTTATCCATTTAAAAGCGTAAAAAAATTCACTATACTACATCATCAAAACATTTGCCATTATAAAATATACTCCTTCCATCCAACTTTATTAGACTTAGATTTAGTTGTCTAATTTTTGTACTTTGAAAATGCTATAATTACAATGCCACATGGCATTGTAATCTTATAATATGATTAAGGAGTTCATTTATGATTTTGTATGCATCAACTCATTTGATGTCACATCATATTAATTTAATGCAATGTAAGATTGTAAATTATAATCTTACATGACATTGTAATTATAATATTATTGTTTATCTTTATGATATCATTTAATGTGTTGATTCATACTTTACTTTTTTTTTAAAGAAAATAATTACAACATATATTAAATAAAAAAACCTATTTAAATAGTGATTAATTAAGGATAAGGATAAATATAAAATTTTATTAATTAATTATTACATCCCTATTTAATTACTATAGAAAAAAAAATAAGCCCACTAAAATTGAATGTAGAGATTAATTAATTAAGATGAACCAAGATGAGTAATCCAATGTTTTCCGACTGGTAGTATATTTGACAAACAAGATAAAGCATAAGAAGAAAATAGAATACCTCCGGGGAAATTTGGAAGGTTTGAAGGCAATCGTTTCCTGAAGAAATGATGCAGAGACCTATTTTGCAGAGCAATTAAAGATAAAAATAAAAAGAAAAAACATGACCAGCCTAAAATAAAAGATAAATAAAAATTATAGTTTCTAGCAAATTGTGTAACTAATCAAGTAAAAGTTTATTCAATTAAGCGAGTCTTGTTTACAAAGCCTTTTAAAAATTTGTTTATTTTTTTTAAGAGGATAAATAAATTGAGTTTTTTTTTTGGCCTTCAAGAAAATTGAGTTGATTAGGCAGAAATTGAGGTGGTTTAATGAAATTACAACTCAACCACTAAATCAGAAAATGCTGTAAAAAATTACTATTTTTGCTTAAGAAATTAGACATCAATATCACTACATCGAGAGCTCCTCTATTACTTTGGCAACATATGAAACTTGTACCATGTTAGGGATGGTCCCCTTTCAATAATACTCTGACGTTTTTCTTTTTCTTTTTTTTTCTTTAATGTTCAATTTGACACATCAAAGATAGTTTACATTCCAGTTCACATTGGTCTTAGTGATTGAAATTAAAAGTCGTTGATTAATTAATTTACTATTATATTTATTTAAGTCTCAAAACTTTTTATTGACTACAAATACATCAAATATAATGTTTGGTCTCAAAACAAACTTTTTTTCAAAGTATCTAAAAAATTGTTCTGCGTTACAAGTTCAAAGCACATACAGCAGTGAATAATGTATGATAAACCTTGTGGAATCAAAATAAGTAAATATGTTTGGTGAGTATTGAGGGGCCAGTTTAACTCGGTAGAAGATACTAACCTTCATTAGAGCCCGATGATTTGAAGGGGGATGTTGATGTTTTCCAAGCAGAAATGAAAAATAATGGCTGCTTCTCTCTTTCAGTACTTCTGATCACCAAGATACCATTTTCCCGGTTCATCGGCCAATAATTTCCAAGGAATGCACGTTTGGCAGACAAATTATCAATAGAAAAACCATAATGAGTAAGCAAGGATTTCCATTGAGCCCAGGTCTGGTGCCGCTCCACCCTGTTACTTCCCTCACACGCCACTATGTTGCATATTTGATGTCTATGATACGCCTCAGCCTTAGGATGGAAAGACAAGAATAAATTTTCTTGGAATAGAGAAGAATAATATTTAAGTGATTCATCAAACCGCAACAAAAAATCAGACTGACTGTGGTTAGCATCATGCTCTGCAACAATCATAACATCCGCTTTTATGACATCCCTCACCGTTAGTAACACCTTCTCCAGAGCTAATGCCTCCGAAAACATTTTGCTGAATACAAACATGCAATTCACAACCACAAACTCGCCATCTCGCATCTCCAGCAAAGACACATCAATGTCAGCGAAACTGTTAACAGCAATAATCTTATATTCCAACTCAATGTGGCGGGCTTTAGAATTAGAAGCCCGAATAAGTTTCTCCTCAGTTTCTTTCGAAAATTCAACGTTTTCTTGCACAAGGAAACTTAACCTTAAATGCGTCAGGTCACCCCAGTCCCGAACCAAACTAAAAATGTTCATCCATTGGTCATAAATATCCATGTGCTTGACAAGTTCAATAACATGGACTTTGCGTTTTCGTTTTCCCTTGACGACATCTGCAATAGCCCAACCTACAGTAGAAAAAAGGGAATGCCTAGAACACATGATATTCTTCCAGTCAGGTAATGGGAATGAAAAATATTTAGGATGAAGTCCGTAGGCTCGGCAAGCGAGAGCTTCTGCCAAAAATCTGATCAATCTTATAGTTCCAGGCTTGGGTTCCTCTTCAGCAAGATCAAGAACTCTTCCCATCTCTGCATTTGCAAGTCTCGGATTCCCATGTTGAAGCGCCTCCGCGCATTTTTTCAAGGCGTCAACAACATCCTCCCTCATCCTCCTCAACTAGAGAATGATTTTTCTTTTTCTCAACTGCAACTTAACTAATTTCTTTTAAGTCTTAATGTCTTTGATGATCACTTTATAGAATTTAAAGAACAGAACAGCTTCTCTCCTTTCACTAACTTTTGGAATTAAAGAAAAAGATAGAAAATATAATCAATAGGATTTTTAGATCTTAATTTCAAATTTATTGAAAAATAAACAAAGAAAAAAAAATCAATAATTTCATGAGGAAAATAAGAGCAGAGACTAACCATAGGATTTTTAGATCTTAATTTCAAATTTACTGAAAAATAAACAAAGAAAAAAAAATCAATAATTTCATGAGGAAAATAAGAGCAGAGACTAAC